AAGTTTCCTGATAGAGAGGGTTTCGTGTGAGGATGGGTTAAACATAAGGTAAGCGAATCTAAATAAGAGATTTCATAAAAAATGCAGAAAATAGGTCTGCCACAAAATTGATGTAGGGGTAAAATGGTTATCAACACCAACAATGTAAGCCCCGAATATATATATTCCGAATTAGAAGATAATGTGTATGTGTGCAATGCAAATACTCTATTTTCGTTTATTTTTTTAAAAAAATTGAATTTATTTATGGATTAAATCGGATATTCGAGACACTGAATATCTAGGTGGTGATTGACACTAATACCTACAAATACTCGGATATTCGATCCGTGCCTACCCCTATTTACATATACAATTTGATTTTCTTTATATGATAAAAATTCACTAATGTCTGGGCCTATTTTATTTTAATTACTTTTATTTCGAGAATTTTATTTTTCAAGTGCTATTTTGAACAAAAAAAATGTCATTTATAATTAATTAACAGTATCTTTATATATTTATCAACCATTTTTATATTCTTTACAACCAGATACATGTGTACGTGAACACCTATATAAATAAATATTCACCAGAAATCTAATACTATAAGTAGAGTTTTCCCTATTTTTAGGCTGCCACGTCAATAATTTAATAAACCTTAGAGCGCCACGTGTCTCACTCGGTTTTGTTTGGGTTGAAAACAATTTTTGGGCCTGATATTTACAGAAACTTAGCCCATTAGTCCCCTTGGCTTTGTAAAGATCCTTTCGCCGTTAGGATTCCCCATCTTTTTTTCTGGTCAAGGGTTCATCGTCTTCTCCAAATCAGTTTACATCTAACATCTATGAAGCTTATGAAAGTATCAGAGAGAAAAGTCGTCGTCGTTAATCGGATCTTTTGGCATCATTTCGTATTGGATTCTTCTCCCAGTAGGCGTTACAAGTTCACTGATTCAACATCATAAAAGATTTCTTCACACTTTCGATCCAATAAACCGCTAGTATGCATTCAATGTCTCATTACCTCAGCCAAACAGTGTATCTCTACCTATAAATAGGTGAGGCCTCATATATTGTGAATCATTCTCAAAATTCCAATAGCATTTCAACCCGTTTGATCAAGGAAGCATGTGTTTGGCCGAAGACGTAGGAGGAAATACCATCGGATCGTTTCTCGCCGGAGAGGAAGAAATACCCAAGGGAAGAGGACTCGATTTGCCATGCCTCTGTTGTTTACCGGTTAGGACCCGTTCTAGATTGCTTCGCTTCCTTCTCTCAAGGACTTATGGAGGTATGCTCGAGAAACTCTTCACGTTCCTTAACCGCGTCTAACCATACCCGTAAGTTGTCGAGTTGGATTTGGAGTCAGTTTCGTTAACCCGAATCCAGGCAGATGATACTAGAGTTAACGGGTTATGGAATTGATGCAGAAAGCTAAATAAATTGAGGCTGAAATCATTTGGAACAATTAGAGAAACAGAATTCCTCTGTTTGTTCTGTAGAATCTTCAAGAGATTTAGCTTAGAACATGTAGAGAAGTATTTTTTATAAAGTAAGTGTTCATAATAAAAAAAAAAGTGTTGTTGATAGTTCCACTGAAAGTTTCAGAGATTTGTGGATCTCTCAAGTCTATATTGATATATAATGGTGGTAACAAGTACGCTTAGTTCATTTCATGATAATTCTAGATGCAAATTAACTTTGAAGATGTTAGATTTGCGTCTACCTATGGATTTAATTGACAAACATTTCATCCCTTGCAAATTTTAAATCTTTCTGTGAAGCTATGTGAAGCTGAAGTGCAAGTTCTTGATTGGTTCTGGCTGATGAATTGGAGGCGGCCATGAAATTAGCTTCAAGTAAGTTAATTGAAGTTTTTTCTCTTATCTCAGATGTTCCTTGGTAGTTGCTTGGGTTAGTGTTTGAACAGAAACATATGCCACACACAACCAGAACAGTCTATGTGAAGTATAAAAGTCATTAAGTGTAAACAGCTTTGCTTTGCTTTCAGTTTCCCTTTTCAATAATATTATAATATTTTTTAAAATTTGCTCTTTTAAACTATAAACAGCTTCTGCAAAGTGCATAGCTTGAGACGATGGTTTAAGTTATACGTTCATATGATCATCTCATGTTTTGCTTCTCTTATATTCAAAAATTCAACAAGTCTCGGCTTCCTAAGCTGGAGAATGATATCAACATAACAGGATAATGCAATTACATGACTGAAAACTCACCAGCGTTTACGGAGAAGAGAACTACGATAGTAGAACAAAAAAGTGCAAAGAGTGATATGGAAGACTTACATTATTTGTGTATATAGACTTTAAATTAAATCGATTGTCGCTTCATAGCACAGGTTTCAGTTTTTCTCGACCTTACGCATCTTTGATAAGTTCCAAAACAAAATAAAAATAAAATCAATTTTCTCGACCTTAAATATAACACTATTCTCGACCTTATGCATTCTCTACTTTCATTATAAACTTAATTTTTTTGTTCTTACGAGCTGCACAAGGTAAGATAATGATGAAATATTCTAAAAAAATGGCAATAACTATATACTCTGACAAATGCCTAAATTTTATTGTCCTTACCAATGAATAAGATCGAGCACATGTTTCAGCTTTTAAAATAAAAATAAAAACTATTCCTAAAATTAATGAGTAAGTGTTATAAATAATAAAAATTAGTTTGATATTAGATTGCCATACTATCTAGCCAATATAGACAACAAATTTGGTGTTATATTTTTAAAAAAGTATACTATGTTCTTTATCTTTTGTGCAGTATTTCTTTTCACCCTACTTGATTTTATATAATATATCACATTGGATTGTGACCTAAGAACATATTTGCAAACTATGCATTTGTAAAACGTAGTTATCAATTCTCATATTTTTACTTTTTTTTTGGTGATAGTCAAATGTATCTTACCTTAACAAAAAAAAAATAATAGTTAGGCTAACCAAGTAAATAAAGGTATGAAGCTAAGTTGAAAATGGTAACGTTAATAACGCATAAATCATTAGTAAGAGTTTAACACACTACTTAAACAGTATCTCAACTTCCATAAGACATTCTTTCACTGGTTTTCTTCAAGCTTCTTCTAACCAACCCATTCCTCTGGGCCGTTCTTATAGGTGCTTGATGAGATTTGTGTTGGTGTTGCATTTTATTCCCCAAAAACTGATTATTGTTCCTTGCGTACTCATAATATACATATCATAAACATATGTTAATATGTATGATAATTACATCACATATTCATTCATATATAAATAGTAAACAAAAAATAGTTATTTACATGGTTGTTCCTGATAATATCCATATTTTAAAAAATCAGCTTGGCTATCATTTCAGTGTAACTAAAATCATTCCTCACTTTACTGGACAATTTCTACAAAATATAAAATTATAACCATCCACATATTATAAAAATATATATTATAAAAAAAATCTAAAAAAATATTAATCATAGAAAATACTATCCACGCAAATTGTATTTCAACCTCCCAAGATTTTCAAAAAATACACTAAAGAATCATATGAAAAATTACTCCGAACCAAAAATGAACACAATCTTATAACTTTAAAACCGATCTTAAAATTATATATTGACAAAATATTAAGTCTTTTGTGAAACGCGGGCTTCCTTTAATAGTAATATAAACTTTAGATTCTATTTTATTATGTCAAAGTGAAATAAAATATATATATATATATTATTAAATTTTCTAAATTATTTTTACTAATTTTGTATTCTCTGAAAAATATTGAATAATAAATATTATGTAACTTTAACTCAAACTAAACATGATTATTAAATATATCAGTATAATCTAAAAATTCTATTCATTGTTTTTTTGTTTATAATATTTTTCAATCTACTATTTTTTAAAAAAATATTTCATAAAATTAATATATAAATTTATTTTTATATTTACACCCCGCCCGTAAGGCGGGCTAACCCTAGTTATTTAAAAAATAGTTTTAAAAGAAAAGTTAATAAGAGAAAAAGGCAACAATAAATTCAGAAACAAATGTATAATATATAAATACAATTCCTGATTTATGTATTTAACTTCAAATTAATTCATGTTTATGTATTGAACTTCAAATTATTATTCTGAGTAATTTAATTTAAATAATTTCATTAGAAAAGTAGAATAAACATTACAAGAAAAAATAAATTAATTAATTAAAAAGGTAAATATTCTAATGAATTAGAAAATATGTGATTTCTAACAAAATACAAATAAATAAGTAGCAAAGATTGATAATATTAATTAAAATAAATTATTCTAAATGTATATAAAAATAAAGATGTTTTTATTTTTTTTCACTTACTCACCCGTTGAGTTTTCCCTAGTAAAATATATAATTTTCTGGAAGTTAAAATATATATTTTTTAAAAAAATTTCACTATCGCAAAATTGCTAGAAAATGATTTATTTTAATAATTTTCATTTCATTTTCTTTTAACTATTATCCGTTCAGAAATGATAATATGAAACTTTTGATTCAACTATCTAAAATTCATATAACATGAAACCAAACAAATAATAATAACTTTTAATTTTCATTGGAAAAATCAAAAACTTCAAAAGATTAAACTGAACAATACAAAATAAAATTGATTTAAAAGAAAAATTATATTTAAGGAAATTAAAAAAACAAATTTAAACCGCACCGATATTCAAATTAAACAAATTTAATTTCTTCTTATCAAAAATAACGAAACAAATAATCGAATTCCGCGCAAAACTTGATTATTACCTAATCATAAAATTATTCATCATGTTGCTTAATGCAAAATCAAATGACAATGTTAAGCCAGTCATAACACTAGCTGGATAGTCTGGTCGTTACAATATCTAGCCTACGAATGCAGGTTGTTGCAGTGACATATATAGCTCTACAAAAGACACCGAAATGTTATTTAAAAAAAAAAATATATATATATATATATATATATATATATATATATATCATGATTTTAAGAAATTGAGAAAGGAATCATCTTCTCCTGGGCGCGGAACCGCGCTGAATCGCTGCTGGTGCTTGCCCTTGAGAACCCGCAGGTTGTTCTTCAGCCATGTTACTCGCTTGTGTTACAGCATTCATCACTATGAGTCCAAGTGGTATCAAGTACATCCACTGTCATTCCAAAGTTCAGTTATTTCATGTCACATCCATGGTTTATAAATCATTATATAAACGAAACTAATGTGTTTTACTCTAATAATACTCACATATTTTGCCCAAAATGATCTCTCTACCGGCGCTTCTGCTTCACCTTCCTTATTCTCACTACTGCCAAGAATCTCCTCCGTGAATATTGGAGTTCTGCATAAAGACAATTTTACGAGATAAGGTTTGTGTATGTCAATAACTCAAAATCATTTGGTGAGTTTATAAAAATAGATGTACACGAACTGATGTTCTACCTTGGTGCCTGCTCACCACTCTTCAGGATAGTGTGGGAGTTAAATGTCCATTTTGCTGGCTATATTAAACACAAAACATATAACTACAAATCAAAATACCCTTCTACCATACCAGGTTCAGTAATCAGTATATGTAGAAGAAGACATAATGTGAACAAATAATAAATAAGTGGTTTCAGTTCCTTAGAATACCATCCAAGCATGCCAATAATCAAAACTTTAATTCTGAAACTAAAGACGCGATTGGATAAATGTGTTACTTACAAGTTTCAATTGTCGAGGATAAGGGCATGCTCCAGGAGAGCCATAACTGACTGCCAAAATGTTGGCACCATCCTGCAATTAAGCAAGAAAGTGTCATAAGTAAATAGCGAGAAACTAATTGTCACACGACGTTGAAACGTAAGCTTTGATCTTGGGAGAGTGTAAGACACTGATACCAAAAGAATATATTACCATATGAATAACGATATGCTCATCCAAACCATCCCGTGGAAGACATCTCTGTAATCATAGTTAGGGCGTGTTAAAGCCAGATAATACAATGAGCAGTGAGAAAAGAAAATTAAAAAAAAAAAGATTGCAAAAACTAAGCAATTAGTAATGGCAATGAAACGTTTCTAGGTTTTAATCAGGTTCGGACTTACGATCTAAAAACAAGTGAATTTGAAAGGAAAGTATTCGTATTTCAAAGAAGTAGAAGGGAATGGTTAATATCTGTAAGAAGCAGTAACAAGACTAACCTAGTAGGAGTCTTAAAGCTGAGCTCAATCGATCAAACTTATAAAACTACAAGCAGGCACCAATCACTCAAAGAAAAGTCTATTTGATACTAAAAGAAGTTGAATGGTAATTATAAGAAAGAGTTAAGCTAATGATATCAAATGCAAACTTGACTACTTGAGATCAAAGATTAAGAGAAAGGGTGAAAAAGTGAACTTACAGCTCTGACTGATGCAATCACATACTCTCTCCCAGGTGGATTGACAACATTAGATGGAAGTCTTATTCTATAAAAATCATCTCCTTTCAACAGTGTCTGTTTTCACAACAAAGGAAAAAACTTTTACTCCAGTGTGTTTTTCAAAATTAAAATAAAGAAACAAAAACAAGTACTAGTAGGAGATGACTTACTTGAAAGGCATATTTCTCTTCATCAGAAAACTCATTCCTAGAGAACCGCAGTTTCGTTAATGTCTGCATCCAAAAAAGAGGTATCAATTCAGATAGGATTAAACAATTTTGAGTTCTTTAAATCTAAATCTTTATCTCTGATTCTCTAGCAGACCTGACCGCCATGGCTCCAAGTCTTGAGGCGAGCGGAGAAAGTACCCGCGGGGGAGAAATCTGAGTCTCCGAAGGCATGTTCGAGGGTGAATTGGATCTTAGAGTCCAAATCAGGATCCGAGTACCGTCTACGGATACTCGGAGTCTGCTTCGGCGGTGAATCTGAGGTAACTGGTTCAGGCGAGCGAGGATGGGATCCTCCCTCAAGACCAAACTCCTCGTCGTCGAGGAGGAGCTCGTCTGATTGGAAAGCGAAGGAGGATGAGAATAATAAAGTGGAAAGAAAAAGGAGGACAGTGAGATTCGACATGGTTACCGTCGTCTTGTACAAGAAGCAATAGGAGAGACCAACAGAGATTTGGATGAGTTCCAACAAAAGAGATATTTGGGTCGAATTTTTGCATTATTTACATTGCAACTGCGCCCTTCATATTTAGTAAATATTGTCTGCGGACCCCATACCAATTATTATCAGTATTTAGAGACACTTTATCACTTTTCAATTACACCCAAAGGCACAATGTACTTGCAAGGCACTTTTTCATAGAGATGGCAATCATGTATCTGGAGCGCGGGCCTAGCCCATAAAGAACTGTCACGGGACAGTATTCGGACGAAGTTTTCTAAGCCCGCAAATTTGCAGGCCTCACGAGACAAGTCTTTGCAGGACTGGATCTTTGCAGAATTGACGGAAATGGGTCCGGCGGGATTATAAGAACCCACATTTTTTTCTTTATTTTTTGTTTATCTGAAAAAAACGAGAGAATAGTAAGTAGAAGACGATTCATATGACTTCCACTGAGAAAACATAAGGAGCTCGGGCGATGATGAAGATTCGAGCTTCGGTGATAATGATTCGAGCTCCGAGGATGACGACTAGAGCTCCGGCGATGACGGTTCGAGCTTTAGTAGTGTTTTGATTTGGTTTCTCTTTTTATTTAATTTCGGATTGACACTTTTGATTTGGTGTTTGATTTTATTTAATTTTTAGATTCAACAAACTAAAACATTGGTTATGAACTTATGAATTATAAGATAATGAAAAATATCTTCTGCAATTACCTTTACTTTGTATGTTAATATATTTTGGGTGTGATACAAATAATTATAATTATTGTTTGAATAAAAAAATACCGTGATCATTACTTCCACTACTCATTTTTTGGCAAGAACTTATGCATAAAAACATACCTAGATCATCTCAGCTCATTGATGATCCCTAGCAACAACAATCCTCAGCAATGGTGCTTGCCTCTTGGGTGGTGATGGTAATGTCCCATCTGCTACTCTTGTCTTATGAACTCCACAATCCTTTGCTATGTGACCTTGTCGTTTTCAGCGAAAACATCTAGTATCCGATTGTTGTTTAAGCGTGCAATTCTTCTTGAGTTGTCCTAACTGCTTGCACCGAAAACACACCCCATGCCAACACTCATCCAGGTGCTTCTTTCCACACCATCACATAGTTTTAGGTGGAGCTACGGTTTCTTCACTTGAGATTTTCCAAGTCGTTTTCACAGTTGTCGCATGCACTCTCTTAGCTTGCTTACGCTCTTCTTCTAGCCCGACTTTCTGTTCTGATGCCTTTTCGATCAGCTCGTTTATGCTTTGGTATTCTCGGATGTTGCAACTATTCTCAAGTTCGATCCTCATACCTCTCAGGAATCTTCATACCAGTTCTCGCTTTCCCATGTGATGCCCCCTAAACCTTCTCAGCCTGTTTAACTCTTCGCCATACTCTCTCACACTCCGGTTTCCTTGTTTTATATCTTGGAACTGGCTCTCCATTTTGTCCAGGGATTCCCGCGGAAAGTACTTCTTGTTAAATTCTTCGAGGAAGTACAGCCATGTCAAATCGTGATGTCCTTGCGTGTCTTCCACTATGCCTTCCCACCACACTAGGGCATCATCCTTTAGATGATGGACAGCCAGGTCCTTGCGAAACTCTGGTGGGCACCTTGCTGAGTCAAAGTTTCTAACCAACTGCCTCCTCCAATTGTCAGCTGCAATTGCATCTGCCCTCCCGCTGAAAAGTTCCATCTGCATGTTCTTCATGTGTTTCATCATGTCCCAATATGAGGGTCCTTCTCCTTGCACTCCCACATGCAGTGGTGGAGGTCGATGATTCACAGTGTTTCCCGATGGTGGTTGTGCGGCTCCAACTTCTATTGGACCACCATTCCTTGGAATTTTCCCTTGGTAGGCCTCTCGGTACATCTACAACTCCTCCAAGACTGCAGCATCCATCACCACTTAACCCTTCTTTGGAACCCCTCTTGATGTGTCTCTCAACTCTGGCTCTATATTGGTACAACTTCCCTTCAAACTTAAAGCCCATGATTTAGTTTTAGTGGCATGTTGAGCTGCTCTTTGGGCGGTGGTCATTGTCGAGGCAACCTTGGAATTCTGTGGTGGCATCCTGATACAACGAATGGCATGTCAGATGATTGTCACAAAAGCGTTCACTAACCTCATCGAGTAAGCAAGGAGCTTTGGTTCGAATGGTGCCTTTATATTAATCTTTTGAAAACCTCCCATTTAGTAAAACGTATGAAAACTCTTTTGGAACCCGTATATAAACACTTCAGATCTACACCTACCCACCCGAGACAGCACCGGATGAGTTTAACCCCCCCCCTCGCCCCGCTCTGATACCAATTGTAAAAACCATGTCCCTAACTAATTTAATGAAAACCGAATAATATCATAATAGGTTAAGAAATCATAGTGAAAACTTTTTAAAATAAAACTGAAATAGATGGCACCATCCCGACTCCTACTCCTGCACCTCCTTGATCATACCTGCAAGAAAGAGGGTGAGTAATTGGGATTACTCAGTGAGGGTAGGTTCTAGGAACCTACGAACTCATCTCAGATCACATAACACGTCAAGCACAAGTCATGAGTTAATATCACCTATCATTCATCTAACAAGATTCTCTAAACTCTCTAATCCACAAGTTCCCTTCGCTAACCGCTCGAACACCTCATCATTTTACACAGCTTCATCAATCCATGCCAAACTAGCACGCCAAACTGGTACGCCAAACCGGCACTTGCCAAACCGGTACTCACCAAACCGACACGCCAAACCGGCACACGCCAAACCGGCACTCGCCAAACCGGTATTCGCCAAACCGGCACACGCCAAATTAGTACACCAAACCGGCACTCGCCAAACCGGCATTTCGTCACACTACGACACAACCTCATATCTCATCGACGACATCATAACGCCACAGTCTCATCAACATTCAATCTTAACCAGATTCATTATTATCATTACTCATTTTTATCACCATTGATTCTTATCACGCAACCGGTTATCCATTAACATCCAATTATGTTCTAAGTTCTTTTACTCACATCATCAATCAACGCACTTTTCATCACATCAACACAAACAAACAACTAGATCCAGGTTAACATTAACAAAGGACTAACTCCCTGAGGTTTTAGACAACATGAGAGAAGTTCACGACCGGGTCCTCACCTTAGCCTTTATCGAGGTCACAAATCCCGATCCAACAGAAGAAGAACATAGCAACACAACCACAAATCTGTTCTTTCACGCTCAATCAAAGATGAGAAAAGGGATTAGGGATCAGATCTATCATACTCAGTGACAAACCATAGAGATTGAGAAGCGGAAACATGAGATCTGAGGCTTACCTTCCAGAAGTAACAAGGAGAACGATAAAGAAGAATGAGGCAAACCAGCTAGCGGTGGTGACTAATCGGAGATGGCGGCGGCGGCGGCTAGGCTTCAGGTCGTTTGACGGCTGATGGCTCGGGATCTCTACAGGGCTTCCGTTCTATTCTCTCTGTAGAGAAAATGAGGAGGAGACACCTCCTTTTATAGGAAAAGATAAGGGAACCCTAGGGTTTCTAGCTATTGCGCCTTTTCTAATTGGAATTTCACTTTTAAAATAAAAGAAATTTGCGGGTCTGGTACTTGGTTGTTACATCAACGATATTTTTGGATGTGGATTTTGCAGAAGACTGTTTTCAACTATTTAAAATGATGTCTATACTGATTGATTGGTGTCATTTTACCTCCCACATCGATGATTTCCAATGATGTAAGGAGTGCTTCTCGAATTTCTTGACTAAACATATACATAACACTACAAATACAGTGGTAAACAAGGTAACACGAAGAACTAAAAATCCTAATTAAGTTTATCTATTATATGTATTTTCTACACTAGTGTTGTTTTATGTATCGATTTCAATTCAAATTAGTATAACTATTGCTGGGAAAAAAAACTTAGAAAAATATTATGTTAACAGTTGGTGGGAAAATGTCAAATGAAGTCATTGTTGGAGAAAGACAACCAAGGCTTTAATCTCATTTCCATCAAGAAGAGGGATGAACCCATATATTAGCTAGGTTAGCAAACTTAAAATAGATAGAAGGGGTTTTTATCGTTAATAGAGATGTCAAACAGTTTGTCCCGTCCCATCCCGTCCTAGACTGCAGCGGGATTTTTTTTAAGCGGGTCAGGCCCGGGCGGGCTGCGGACTCTGGAACGGGTACCCAAACCCGTCCTGTTATATGTACAAACAAGCCTTTGCAGGTCGGCCCGCGGGACATGTGATAAAAACACGCATCAGAATGATTCAGGTCACTCCAAAACGCTTCAGGCCACTCTAAGACATAATTCAAGTCGTCGATTCAATTGTACATAATTCCTTAGTAATTGCTCTGCTTATCTTTTATTAAAAACAATAATTGTAATTATTTGTAACACACCCAAAACATATTAACATACAAAGTAAAGATAATTGCAGAAGATATTTTCATTATCTTATAACTCATAAGTTCATAACCAATGTTTTAGTTTGTTGAATACAAAAATTAAATAAAATCAAACACCAAATCAAAAGTGTTAATCCCAAATTAAATAAAAAGAGAAACCAAATCAAAACATTACGAAAGCTCGAATTGTCATCGCCGGAGCTGTAGTCGTCATCACCGGCGCTCGAATCATTATACCCGAAGCTCGAATCATCATCATCTCCGAGCTCCTAATGTTTTCTCAGGGGAAGTCACATGAATCGTCTTCTTCTCACTGTGGGAACCGAAATTCACACCATCGATTTCCGTAAATTAAGGAACTTAGGGAAAACTCTAATTTTCCAGAGGTCCCGGATATCTGCTAAACCTTACGCCAAGCAATCAGAATACGAGAAAGATAGTAAAATAATATGAGAATCGAAAAGAGAGCAAAGAGGCTTCTTATTCCTATTTTGCGTAAGAACGGTACAACGATGTGAAATCCTTGGCTACAAGAGCTGACGGCAAGTTTCCTAGTTCTAGCAACCTAAGAATAAAACCCTAGTTGAGACACAGCTCGATAACAAAAACGGA